GAGCGGGTCGGCGGGGCTGGGGGGGAGCAGCGGGCGGCGGAAGGGAGCGGGAGGCGAGGGGAGGCCCCGGAGGGTCGCGGGCGAGGCCGCTTCGTTGCTCCCTCGGCCTGAAGGCTCTGGTCCCATGCGCGAACCTGTTTGAGACCTGAAAGAGTGACCCCAAAAAAGGGAAAACAGTTGCAGGTCGAAGTTAATCCACTGAAGTAGTGTAAGGTTTCTGTCGCATCATACTGTGTTACGAATCACATCGAAGGTCGAGGCTGGTGCATCTTTAGGGTTCTTATCGTTAAGGGGCAGCTGGTGGTTGGCGCCCAACCTTTCCAGTGCAGGCCTGGAGCGGGGCCGGGGGCTGGGGACAGAGGCCTGAGGACCCCAGAGTTTCTTGCTGAGGATGCGGGAAAAGCTGTGAGGAGCCCAGCTGTAAGAGCGCCTGGGCCCCGGGGCTGGCCAAGGAGAAGTCAGTGGAGGATTTGGTCCAGAGAGGGGATTGGAAAGGACCTGTGAACTGGAGATGAAACCAGTAGCCCTGGTTAGGGGTTGGGGGTGCGACACAGAAGCCCAAGGTCAGCAGCTGTGAAAAAATGGAAAGGAAGGCAACCTAAAGTGTATCGCCTTTGGTGAAACTGAGGCCCTGAGGGTTTCGTGTTTATTTAGAGCAAGGTCTCTCAGGATTAGAGGACACCCCAAAACTGCACTTTGGAACTGTGGAAACAGCGTTATCTGCTGAATTGTTCCGTGACTCCTTTTGGTGTTGGTTAACTTCTTTCATCATTAACTGCCGCAAGAGAACCTTAAAGAGAACCCCAGCCTTTGCCCTTTCTTGTTATTTAAGAAATTCTGCGCAACACAGGGAACAGGAAGGATACTGGTGGATGTGGGAGATAGGAAACGAGTTGTGTCGAAACACTTGTTGGCTTCAAAGAGCAACTTGTTTGCTTGTTTGCCTCCCTCAGACAACTTAAAAATAGGAGGCAAAAAAAAAAAAAAAAAAAAACGCTTAAAGAGTACACTATCCTATTTTCTGTACGTCAATACTTGATATTCTCCTAAAATGGAACTTTGAATGTGTTATATTTAATTCTCCCTGGACATTTCTGACCACGGGAGAAATCAAGAATACATGTACATTTTACAATACTTTCTATTTTGAGGCAGTCAAGTCAATTCAGTCCATCCTTGCAACAAGGCCAAGCATCAACTCTGTATCAGTCCAGCTTTAGTACATGTGCTGCCTAAGAGAGCGCTATAGCTTTTAAAAGTTCTCTCCTTGAATTTCCAACCCACACTGTTGCTATCCTCAAATGCATCCCTGCAGGGTTTTCCCACATTTTCACTATTTTACCCTCTGGATCAGATAATTATCTGGGGGTGGGGTTGTCCTGTGCTTGATATATTTAGCACCCTTCTCCCTTGCACCCTTGTGACAGCAGAAACAGTTCAGCTATTGTCAGATGTCACCTGTGGGACAAAGATGCTGCAGGCCAATTGAGAGTCCCATTGAGAACCACTGGACTACAGAGACATAAAATCCATGTTCCCTCCCTTCCTTCCTCCCTTTCTTTTTGGAGAAAAGTCTCAGGTTTGCCTAGAACACGTGGGCTCAAGCAGTGCACCTGCCTCAACCTCAAGTAGCTGGGACACCACTGCTGTGGGCCACTGCTCCCATCTTTAACTTGGCTTTTAAGGTCCTTCATTATCTGTCCCTGACCTACCTTTCCCTATTATTTGACTCAGCCTAAAGCAGCCTCCAATGTAGGAATCATTTCTTTGATCTTTTCCGTAGATAATCACCCTGTCTTGGATACATTCAGGAGTGGAAACGATTTAAAATCTGCTTTGCTTGAAAGCTCTTACCTCTATGATATCTTTCTGTTTAAGATTCATATTTATTAAATCCAATTTACTCTTGCAGCTATAAAACAAAAGAATTATTATTTTGGGGACTAGGGTCCAGACTGAAGGCCTCCTGTACTACACAAATGCTCTACTACTAAACTACATCCCAAAGCTGAAGAAAATTGCTGGGTGTGGTGGCACACACCTGTAATCCCAGTGCCTAGGAGGCTGAGGCAGAACAGCTGTGAGTTCAAGTGTAAAGAAAAATCCCCTCTAGCAAAAAAAAAAAAAAAAAAAAAAAAAAAAACTCAAAACAAATACTGTACACAAATGGTAACTTGGTTTACAAACAATTTTTCCACAATTCTGGTCACAAACCAAATTAAATTCAGTGGTTAGGTTCAATAGAGACCTTATGGGGAAATTTGATTCAGTTCTTGCCTAATTCAGTTGGTGACCAGAAATGTGGAAAGAACTAAGTTTGTGGGCCAAGGTACCACTGTACCACCAAATAGTCTCTCAACCTCAATCCTAGTCAGTCTCTCTCTCCCCTCCCCCTCCCC